AAGTGGAAGATGTGACATCTATAGTGACATAAAAGGAATGAATGTGAAATTATTTTGTGAAAAGGGATAGTTTCTGATAAAGGTATCAGCATCAATCGTGGCCAGGAATTGGAAAAAAACCTGACAAGTCCAAGGGACAGAAAGGATGTGAATCATATATCTGTGAGGGGTGGGGTCATTGAGGGACTGTGATTAGGCAAGAATGAAGGTTGATGACCTTAAAAGTTGTGTGATAGTGAAAAGCCAAGGGCAATGGGACCATAACGTATCACAGGATTTATTAAATAACCAGACGCTGGAAGCAACCCAATGTCCACTGATAGATGAAACAAAATGTTGTAGCTGCATATAATAGAACACTATTCAACCTTAAAAAGGAACGAAGTTCTGACTCACGTGACAACATGGATAAACTATGAAGACATTACCCTAAGAGAAATAAGTGAGACACTGTATGATGCCACGTAAATGAGGTCATCAGAAACTGAAACAGAATGGTTGCCTGAGACTGGCAGGGACTAGAAAGAGGGGAAAATGGAAAGTCGTTACATAATGGGTCCAAACTTTTGGTTTTGCACAATGAGAAAGTTCTGGAGGTCGGTTACACAACAGTGTAAATATATTTAACCCAGCTGAAATGTACTCCTGAAAATGGTTAAGATGGTGCCTTGGATTATCTGTATACTTTATGAGAATTTTTAAAGTCAGATTAAAATGGCTCACCAGAGACAGAAATGGCAACTCCAGTATTCTTGCCTGGAGAATCTCCACGGACAGGGGTGTCTGGGGGGCTACAGTCCAGGAGGTCGAAAAGAGCTGGACACGACTGAGCAACTAAGCACAAAATGACTGACTATGTTTTTCCTTTCTTTATCTAGGAACGAACTGGTTGATGGAAACTGTCTGCCTGATTCATTCTAAGGGGGACCCCAAGTGGATCCAATCTGTGCCCATTGGGGAGCGCTCCCCTTGGGTAGAGGCTTTCAGGGGGTATAATCTATTAAAAGATAAGGAAGGCCCACGTTTCATCACTTCTCACCTCCCTGTCCAACTCTTCCCCAGGTCTTTCTTCAAGTCCAAGGCCAAGGTCAGTGCACATAGTCAAGATAGGCTTGATCAATACTCATTAAACTTTAACTTACCTGGCAACCAGTTGAAGACCTGTTTGAAATGCAATTGTATTCGGTAGGTATGTGGTGGGACCCGAGATTCTGCCTGTACACACCACAGCCATACTAAGTACAAAGGTATAGAGCATTCCAGAGGTTCTATAAGCCAGATATAAACCAGAGACAAAGAGAAACCATAATGCCCAAACCTTACATTTAAAGTCTAACTAGAATTTATAACTGTATTATACCCTAGATAACACTCCTTTGCCAAAGAATGTTCAACCTACCGCACAATTGCACTTGTTTCACATGCTAGTAAAGTAATGCTCAAAGTTCTCCAAGCCAGGGGTCAATAGTACGTGGACCGAGAACTTCTCAACGTTCAAGCTGGATTGAGAAAAGGCAGAGAAACCAGAGATCAAATTGCTGACATCTGTTGGATCATAAAAAAGCAAGAGAATTCCAGGGACACATCTACTTCTGCTTCATGGACTACACTAAAGCCTTTGACCACGTGGATCACAACAAACTGTGAAAAATTCTTCAAGAGATGGGAATACCAGACCACCTGACCTGCTTGCTGAGAAATCTGTATGCAGGTCAAGAAGCAACAGTTAGAACTGGACATGGAACAACAGACTGGTTCCAAATT